TTTTTTTAAAAATCATCCGCTATACGTATATAAAATAAACAAGTTGTGAAACACGGCACTAGTAAATCGACACCCTGTCGGTTTCAAATGTCGATTTCTTACTTAAAATGCGAAATAAAAAGTGCAGAGGGGGTCAGGTGTTACGTTAATAACCATTGTTCATAATCGCTAACTTGGTTTTATTCAAAACTGCACAAATCGCGAGTTTTCTGGTGATATCCGACGATTTCATGAACGAAAATGGCCAGCAGCCAGAATCAAGGGGGATTCGCATAGAGTTCTGGGTAAATCAAGGAAATACTCGCTGTTACGGCACGCCTGATTGGCTGAAAATGATTTGCGTTTTCTTGGTCGTCACGTAAAAGAAACCCTTTGAAACGCTAGCAAAAAACCGAAAATAGTGAAAATAAAATAATAAAGACAATCGTGCCTCATTTATTCACAAGTATTCGAGTTATTTTGTTGAAATTATTAATAAAAACAGGGTATAACGTAGGTAGACGTGCATTCAGGCTGAAAGACTGGACGTGTAGTCAAGATGGCGACAGACGTGAAAACGGAAAACGGAATGAAAGTCTATTTAAAAAAATGCGAGACAGACAACAACAAAAAACAAGTGTAGTCAGTGAAAATAACAAAGTTTGACGATTTATGCATCATGAAAACAATAATATTCGTTTATTTTGTCGAATACGGGGTACAAACTTACACATGCATTCCGTTTGAAAGAGTATGAATAAGTAGTCAAGATGACGACAGACATGAAAACGGACGGATTGAAAGTTAATTTCAAAAAACGAGCACAGTCGGTGGAAAATAGCATAATAAGAAGATTCATGCATCATGAAAACTAAAATATTCGAGTATTTTGTCGAAAACGGGATACAACCTTAGACATGAATTCCGGTTGAAAGAGTGTGAGCTATTGTCAAGATCATGGTGACAGACGAGAGAACATACGGATTCAAAGTCTGTTTGAAAAAAAAATGCGTGGCAGAGAAAAATAAAAAAACGAGCATAGTCGGTAAACAATAACATAATAAGATTCATGCACCATGAAAACAAAAATATTCAAATATTTTGTCGAAAACGGGGTACAGACTGAATATAACATGTACGGAAACATTACTGCCGTCTGAAACTAACTTTTAATTTTATTCAATTAAACAGGAACATATTTATTAAAAGTCATATTTTTTACTAGTGAACCACGTTCACGAGAACATCTGATAACTATTGTGTGTTCGGAAGATGCGCATTGCGGAAATATACTTGTAGTTCGATACGAAAGTAGTGACATCGCATGGAAGTAAATATGACGTCATTGTTTACTTGCTCATCATAATATTCCAGCCCTGCTTACGTTGGGCATACGGCGTTTGACATTGGTGTTACTATACTACTATACTGTCTATGGTTAAACAGGGCCCAAAATGATAGGGAGTAAAACACGGAAGTGGAAGAGCTGTCCATGCATTGACCAATCACACAAGAGCTCACAAACACCAACGAAATATTTGTTGTTGTACTTAACAAAGGGATTTGGCACTAAAAACAATGGAACGTTTTATAGGCTTAACGTTGGATTTAGATCGTGTTATAATCCAAATCCCCTACTAAGACTTGTAAGCACCAATTTTCATATGGACAATTTTGACATATGTTGTTTTTAGGATTTTACTGATAATTTATTTTTATTCTCATCATGTCATGAGCATTAATTTTATATATATACAAAATTGATGAAAATAAATATAACTGCTTTTATAAAATATTCCTTGAAATAACTACTTGACTACCATCAAACAGTTGGATATCACAATATCTAGTTATTGTAATTTCTAATTTTCTTATTATTTGATGTTTGAACGTTTCTTGTTTTTACAGGCTTTGTACAAAAACAGTGAGAATTCTGCATTACATCATTATGTAGAAGACAATGATAAAACCAAACTACTCGATGATGGACATCCTGCTGCATATGGAGCATTAGGAAAAACTCCTGCATTAGCTGATAACATGGTGAATGACCTACCTGACGATCTTGCAATAAAGGTGTGTCTGAAATATGTAGGATTATTGATTGTGGAATTGTTGTGCCATGATATGTTTAGAGGTAGATTGGTAATATCATACTCATATTATTATGCAAATCTTGATTTTCAATGATCAATAATTCCTGTATTATATATTATGTAGATTACTAATGGTAACTTTGCATGGGACGTAGCCAACCAGAATCCTACTATATCTGGTATTGATTTAGAAGTACAACGAGGTAAATATAGGTATTATAATTGTTACAGTCAGCCCGTAATACTGGAGTTAATGTCCCAAATGTTGATGACAAAATTAAATAGATATATGCAAATTAACTAGGCATGTGCAATATAACTAGACATATGTAAATTAACTAGATATATGTAAATTAATTAGGCATATGCAAATTAAATAAGTAGCATTATTGCTCTTACAATGGGTTGCAGTAAGAATCTGCTTGTTTTGAATTAGTGTAAAAATGAAGTTTTGACTTTATATTCTGTCTGTGTCTGTTCTCATTATCCATCCACAAAATAAATCAATCTTGTTTACCCCAAAATATCAATATTGCATGTGAATAGTAGCATGCTTTGGTATCCACTAGATATAATTGTTTCCATAAATATTGTCAAACAGAAATACAGTAGTTATTCACTGGATTTTAATTTAAAATAATGTTTTAGTTGGAAATTCATGTGAATAAATATCAGTGAAAAGTAAATGCTTTTACAGTATTTTGTTGATATTCATGGAGGTTCTGAGTTGGGATAAATATTGTATTTGCTCTATTTACGCATAAAACAGTATTATTATTATTTTATGTATACAGGATATGACTAATTTTGACCATAAACATACTTCTGTCATTTACGTGTGTGCTTCTAATGGAGCATATACAGTACACAGTGAAAATTAGACTGCCTTAGTGTGGAGTCCTAGTGACTCAAATTTAATCATTGCAAACACCTTTAATTTATTAAATCATAGAAATTTCTAGTTTCAAATAATTCATGGTTGATGTATATCATACTGTGATATTATCAAAAGTTGATTTATAAATGACTGTGACATTGTGTTATAGGAAAGCTGACTATGGTGATTGGGTTAGTGGGTAGTGGGAAGTCTTCATTGCTGTCTTCTATGCTTGGTGAAATGACAACCTTATCTGGTAGAGTACAGTACAATAGGTAAGTACAACATTCCTAAGCTGAACCGGTGACACTGAACACTTTACTTGAACAACCTTAGCCATAATTATACTCATTGTGAACATATCAGATGCCATAGCTACATATCATTTTCTGTACAAGATCTTGATTCTACATTAATGGTTTTTTTCAACATCAAAATGGGTGACATTTTGTTTTAATGCATGGGAGTCTTTGCAGTTAGTGTGTCTGTATGTGTGTGTGTATGTGTGTGTGTGTGTGTGTTCCACTGATATCTCAAGAACCTTACATCAGTTTTTAATGAAACTTGGTGCATAGAAGCTCTGGGCCAATGCGCAGATTTGATTACCTAATTACCTAATTTGCATGAGAATTAGCTGATTTTTAGCTGTTCTATGACTGTTCCACTGATATCTAAACAACCACTCATTGGAATTTGATGAAACTTGGTACATAGATGCTCTAAACTAATGCTAGGTTTTGAACAGTTTTTGATAAAAATTACCTAATTACCTAATTTGCATAATGATTAGTCAATTTTCGTTTTTTCCACTGATATCTCAAGTACTAATCATCACATTTCAATGAAACTTGGTACATAGATGTCATAGGACACTGCACAGACCTGATAGTTTTGAGGGTAATATCAGTTTATATTAATTACCTAATTTGCATAATTAATTTATTTTCAGCTTTTGATGTTTCAAGTAGTAATCATCACATTTCAATGAAACTTGGTACATAGATCCTTTAGGACTATCCAGAGACCTGATTAGTTTTAGGGTAAATAATTGTGCATATTAATTACCTAATTTGCATAATTAATTTAATTTTTAACTAATCATCACATTTCAATGAAACTTTGTACATGGATGCTGTAGGACAATAGACAGACCTGGATAATTGTAGGTTAAAATCTGTACATATTAATTCCTAATTTGCATAATTAACCACTTTTAAGCTATCACACTGATATCTAAGGTACTAATTATTCCATTTCAATGAAACTTAGTACAAAGATGCTCTAGGACAATGTACAAACCTGATTAGTTTGTGGGTAAAATCTGTTTATATTAATTCCCTAATTTGCATAATAATTCATAATTGTTTTTGGTTCTGATCACATTTCAATAAAACTTGGTACATAGATGGTCTGTTACATTGCGCAGACCTCATTAGTTTTACATTCAAATCTGTTCATATTAATTTTCTGATTTGCATTATTAGTTTTCAGCTTTTCCATCACTATCTCAATCAAGTACAAGTAATTTTGAATTATTTTTAATGTGTCTCCAATACTCTCAGCACATGGAAGTTCTTTCTAAGCTTTCTTTGATTGAATGATTCCATCTACCTATAAATATGTATCTTGGGCCACATACCACTATATTATCTCACATTGGGAATGCATTTTAATGTACATCATGCAGTCATGTATATATAATTCCCAGCTAACAGGTATTTGTCAATTTAAATTCCAGGAAATGTATATATTACTGCTTCTTCCATCATGACAGTAAACTAGACAAGAAACATACAAGGTTAAATTTACTCTGTGTCTAATGTCTATTTCAGGAGTCATAGTAAGGTATCATATGGTGCACAGAAAGCTTGGCTCATGAACGCATCTCTGAGGGACAATATATTATTTGGAGAGGATTACGACCATTTAAGGTATGTGAATGAAGGTATATTCTTTCCGACATAGCACTTGTCTACTTTGTGTTAATTTGAAGATTTTGTATTTATTTTTAATGCCAAAATTAACTTTTGTCTTCTCTCAAAAAATAAATCATCATCAGATTTTTTTGATCATTTATATCAAGACCTGTTGTGTAGCTCGCTGTTACAATGTTCACTTCCTGAGTTCCGGAGAACTCTAAAGTATTCAAAATTCCAAGACTGACACACAAGAAAATACACATGACTTCTCTGGCTTTAGCCAACATTGAAGTGACGTTTTATTATAAAACATGTGATCAGCACATGGTTTACATATATTGGGCAATGAAATTTCAATGACATGAATACAATAATAAAATTGTAAAGTCAAATAGACAACAATCTGTAAGTATTGTGAAATTATGTCCATTTAGTCCATAATTTATTAACTAATAAATTATAGAAAAATTAATCAAAATTTGATCTGAAACATAAAACTCAATATTAATACATCAATATTAATGACAGTCAGTCAGAGTTGAAAACTCTAAAATTTGAATTACTGTAAAACATGTTGAAAAAGCGACATACTATTTTAGCGAATTGTGGTAAAATGACGTAATAGCAAAATGATGATTTATTGAATCTTTCTTGTCTTTGTTTGTACCTGTTTTCACAATACTTGTCTGACGCCTGTCAAAACAAATGTGCAGTTGTCACCTCCATAAGAACAAAGAAAAACTGTCAAGTGTAATAAAGAAGCACTCCAGATTATTACTTTTTCTATGTTGTTTACAAAGTGTGTGTGTGGAGAAAAGGACATTGTTTGGCCGCCATTTTGAATTTATAATGAAGTCATTAGCGACATCTTAAATTAGCAAATTAGTTCTCTCGCTAAATTTGCTAAAAAGACATGCTCGTGAAAACGATGTGTTTTACAGTAGTGTGCTACATTACTTTTAGTAACTATGACTACATTGTTAAGTACATTAAATAAAGTTACCTTTGTTCTGGTTACCAAGGTACCAAGCTGTAGTGAAGGCATGTGCATTACAACCCGACATTGATATTTTACCTGCCGGTGATTACACAGAGATTGGTGAGAAAGGTATCAACCTCAGTGGAGGACAGAAACAACGAGTCAGCGTTGCCAGGTGTATTTATAGCCATTCAGATATTGTCATTTTGGTAAGTATGTTTTCATATCTGGTAAACTCTATGGAATGTTGCTAGGTTACTGATGGGTGTATGGTGTATATTTAGTTGTTATTGATTGATGTACAGATAGTGAGACAGAAAAGTTCTGACTGTAATACATAATTACTGTATTACTTCATATGAAGTTCATGATGCTGACATTTGACTAAATATTTGTATTTCAATAAAGATAATATTAATATCATAGAATATTATTGCCCACAGTAAATGATCTGGATGACTACTGTAAAATACTTGTAAATTGTAAAATAATATACGACTCTTATCTGTTCATTTAATCTTTTTGTTGACACACTGTGATTAGATGTTTATATTTTATTACCATGGCAACACTTAATATTTACTTTTTCTGGTTGCAGGATGATCCGTTGTCAGCGTTAGATGTTCATGTGGGACGTCAACTCTTCATGGAAGGCATAATGGAATTACTAATC